AAATATTAGGAAATACTAAACTTTAAAACGACGAACGCTGTTTACCTAATGACCAAGTATTTCAAACCATTAATTGTGAACTTCGTCTGTACAAATAAGAGATAATTTTAAGCTACTAATGAGTAGTATAAATTTTAAATCATAATTTATTGGTGTTGTTAAATATATTATAAGGAATTCGGAGCGATAATTCAGTCTACCATTAGACTAAATAAATCCACGGCTCATTACGTGTACAAATCCAAAATGCAGGATCTGTCCTAAATATGGTACTGTATTGCATTCATAAGATCCGGATTTTCAATTCCTATGTGAAGTTATAGCTACTATACGGATCACAGACTTGGCGCGTCATGGAAAGCACTTTGAACAAACTACACACTTTCATCAACAGCTGTCTTCGCTCAATACTACTCATGATCAGGTGACCGGCCACAAAAGATCAGCAATAGTGAGAGATATCTGGCAATGAACGAACTAACCCAGTAGGAACCAAATGTGCATTTAATATGCAAGAATAAATGGAGATGGATTGGCCATACTCTGAGAAAACCATCAAGCGATTGACATCACACGACAGGCCATCGCTCGAGTGGAACCTGAATGAGAAGCGGCGATTTGGAGGTCAGTGTGATGGTGATATGGAGGATGTGATGTAAAGAGGAGATAAAAGTTTGTGGGCAGACTTGGAGTCAGGTGAAAACGTTGGCAGAGAACCGAACGCAATGGATACGTGCAGCTGAAGCCTTATGTTCCTCTACTAACTAAAGGGAACAATAATATAATAAATTGCATACAGGAGTGGTGAAGAGAATTTGTAAACCCCAAATAGTGATGTATCTAGGCTAAACGATATTGGGAGCTTTCATTTTCTCATCACGTGATCTCCCTCATGTCTCACTCGGACTGAACTCTTCGTTTCCCACTAGAGTCTTACTGAACTGCTTGGCACGTGATGTTACTCAGTGGTTTGTTCAGTGTGTGTGTGTGTGTGTGTGTGTGTGTGTGTGTGTGTGTGTGTGTGTGTGTGTGTGCAGTCTCTCTCCATTTCCTTTAGCGTGTTTGTTGGACAGTGGGTTCTTTGTTGGTTCGTTCCCAGAGTTCCTTGTTGCTTATCATTTTCGCCCATGTGATCTACAGTGCTGGGCAATTTCTGTTGTTAGTGAAAGTCTTCATCTGGTTGTTGGAAATGCTTTTGATAACACGTACACCAAGTGTGTGACCCAGAGAGAAAAGCAGACTTGATATTAGTGTTGGAAATCTGAATCTTGTTCCTGTGCTGAGTATATTTGATCTCCACAGTGATTTCTAGGTAGTGAAGGTCTGCCTTGCTTTTCTTCACCTAGTGTACCAGTCAGCCCCAAGACCAGAGAAATAGGGAAGATGGGGAGTGGCGCTAGCGATTCATCTATGGAAAATCAATCCGATCTCTACAGAAACTTCAAAGCGAACTTTTACTACTTACCAGTAGTAAGTAGTATGAAGTTTAAAAACAAAGGAAACGACATATGCATATATGTATACATATATATAACTTCGAATGTAATGTAAACTGTCGGCTGAGACTAAGGAAAAACTATTACCAGATGAGAATAAAAATAACAGATGTGTGAAGACTGGGATTTCATTAACTCTTTTACCTACTAGCAAAAAGGCTAAAACTCAGATGTCTGCATGGACTATTTGAGAAAATATTCGTCCTGTTAAATGACTCAACTTCTCGGCGATAAACAATGAAGTTAGATAGTGCTATAACTAACTGTATACACTCTAAGTGAGTTCCTTTCGTTTATTTTCCGTCGATTTACATATTTTAACGTTTGCATGAAGAAAGATAACACTTCAAAGATAAATTTATATATATTGGTTTGTAGGGATATGATTGATTGGTTACAGGATTTCATCATGAGCTGACATCGGTTAGAGAACCACTGAGAGATCTGACAGTACTAGACAGCTGTTTCGTTGGGACTTTTCAATGCCACGTACTTACCGGGTTCCAAATCAAGGACCTTCTGGTTACACGACGTGCCGGCAGACCATTAAGCCACTGGGACCCGATCCAATACTCCATGAATTCTAACTACTGCCGATTCAGTAGGTCGGGTGTGAGGACAAATACTAGCCGAAGACACTAGCTAGTGGTCGCGCTATGTTGGAACCCACGGACCGTTGTATCGGGTCCCAATGGCTTAATGGTCTGCAGGTTCGCCTTGTAACTTGGAGGTCCCAGGTTTGAACCCCGGTGGGTGGGTAATGATGAAGAGTCCCGGACCGGGACTAAACGGCTGTCCGGAACTGCCTGGTTTTCCAACGGTTCTCTAACCTATATTAGGTCATGATGAAATTTTGTAGCCAATCAATCAAATCCCTACAAACTAATACTTGAATAAAATTATATTGAAATAACAGAGGTGTTTTTAGCTCAGGTGGGTGATTTTTGGTCTTGTTGTTTTCAGCGTTAACTTCACACTGTATTTGGGCCATATATCATGATCAAGCTAGTCAGGACAGACAATTATGCTGTTTTTAGAGAATTGTTGAAAACATCAACACACATTGAATTAAGCGTAGCTGATGTTGTCTCGAAGTGCAGTGAGTCACCCACCTCAGAAAATAGGACTGCACCAAAAATAAAATGACAGGCAAACTTCAACAATAGCGTCCCAAAGGATGCGAACTCATGGGTGACCTTCAGCCGGCCAGTTATAAAAATGAGGAACTTTTGCACAAAAAATGACGTATATTTACAAGAAGATGCATGAAAACACATTAAACACGTCATCTTTCTGTGACATGACTTAAAAATACATCCCAGTTATAACGAGGAATATAAATTACTAAGTTAGACTAGTTTCTGTGCATGTGTTGACCAACGTGACTGAAGATGAGCTGTTTTTGTGAATTGTTCATCTCTCTTTTCCTTGTTGTGCAGTCCTTCCCAAAGCCTTCGGTTGAATTACTATGGTTTCCAGTAAGAGGATCGACGCCTACTTACCAGGAAAATATAGATAATAAAGTAAATTGAAATAAATGACATAACTATAAATCTATCCCTAATCGTAACCCTAGTGACAACACTTATCCAAACCGTAATTCTAGCCCTAATGCTAATTATAACCCTGATCCTAACCCTAACCCAATACTTACCTTTACCTTAATCCTAACGCTAATGAGCTATTAACACATTATTCAAACACTACTTAAAAACATGATCTGGGTGAAATTTGCTGCTTGGCTGGTGAATAGCGTTGATATTTCAGCTATGATAATGACTGGTGAAGTTAGCCAGCAACTGTCATGCGTTCAAGGTCATTAGAGCATTCGCACTCCCGGGACGCTATTGTTGAACTTCACCAAATGATATTTCAATGATAAATAACGTCTCAAGTTGGGGACACAAAATCCTAGGAGAAATAAATTACACCAAACTGTCTAGTCATCTGTTGTACTATCTCCTGATATCGACAGATGCAATTAGCAGATTGAAACATGAAATTCCCCACTCTTAGATGAAACCTTTAGCAAGATATAAAGTTGTAGTTTGGTTTTCCTCCTGATCCTCAGGCTGATATATGATTTTAGTAAAGGCTCTTGAATGCTCCAGTCATTCCATAGTACCGTTAATATTCCGAAATGTATTTTTGATTTCATTGTACAGATACACTGGGTAAAATGTATTAGTCTTCCGGTTTTCTTGATTCATTCTGTTATTACCAAGATTGTATGCCTATGTTAATTCGAAATTGGTAGGTCTAAGCAGAATTACCTTTAGGAGCTTAAAAGCTAAGTCTCTCTAACAAATGTGGACATCTCGTTTTAAAGGCCTAGATGATCTAGTAAAATGTGATGATTTATTACAGCACATTTCAAACGAAAACTTCCATAAAAATGATGAGAGGATGCGATAAATAAAACATTCTTCTTGCTGAAAATGTGTAAGAAAAAGAGTGAATTGGCAGATTAACTCTGGAGTTCAAATCATAAAGCATTTTCATGTATTTTGTATTCTAGAAAATAGTAAGCACAAGCACTGGAATGAAATAACCTAGTTCCGTTTTATTACAGGATTTCATCATGAAGTGACATCGGTTAGAGAACCATTGAAAAACCTGAAAGTACTCAACAGCTGTTTTGTCTTAGTTTTGGACTCTTCAGTAGTACGCACACAATCAGCTCATCATCACTAAACTCACCACTATTTAATTTTTTCAGCTGTGTACCTCAACACCTTCAACAACACTCTAAATGGTACAATCTAAGGTAACATTAAAATAGGCGACTGTGAAATTTAGTGCAGCCTGTATGAAAAATGTTCTACAGCAGACGTCGTGAAGAAAGTAGGTATATAGAGCTTGTGATTCATAAGAACATTAAAACTCTGTCACTGAGCTTTATCCAAAACATCGTCATTTAATTCTTCTCTTACATTGAATATCCTTTTTTGCTTAGTCAAATATCGGTTTATTCATATTCACTTCCTCCATACGAAATAGTACTTCGTATGATGATTTGAACTGTTTCACCTCTGTGCCATATTTCACGTTGGTGTTTTTGTCCAGCTCTCTGTTAGCCAATTTTAAGTATTGTCACCTTAATATTTAGCAAGTGTTTGAACCTATGCACTAGGCTATCCCATTTGTGACGGTTTAATTTCGCTATTTTCATGAGTTTCAAGCCCTATGATATCATTTCGGTAAATAATATCTTTGCTTGACGGAATACCGTTTTACAGCTTTTGATGATGACTCACTGAAGAAAGGATTTTGTTTCACTGATGGGTCTTATTTTTACAACAAAGGCAGACAGTATTAATATTTCTTACAAAGAAATGTTACTTAATATGTTAAACGCTGATGGCTATTGAAACGACAGTTCTACTAATTCCGTATATTTTAGTTGTAATGCACATACTACTCATAAGTACAAAACTATTTAGCAAAAAATATTCATGCTTAAGCTTCTTAGAAACTGTGACAAAAGAAAATTACCAATTTTTTTTAGTAATACTTTTTATTTAATTCCCATTTTCCATTGAATAAGTTACACAAATATTTAGGTTTAAGATAATTTTTACCATAAACAGTTTCTATAAAATATTCTGCTTTATTTGGACATGGAACTGACAATCCTATGAGATTACACGCTTTTAATGGAAATAATATAGTGAAATCATACGTCTGTTTGGTAGGGTTAACGCTGAATGAATTTAGATAATCATCAACGAAGTCAGCACTTATCGGTTTTAAATTCCCATCTTCACCGGTGATAACTAGTTCAACAGGATAGATGTTGATGTAGGCATTTTTAGTACGAAATACACGGGCATGAGGTTCGCAGAATGAAAGTATACCACTGTTTGAAAAGGAGGTATCGTCAAATGTCAGTGTTGACTGATCGGTCGTCGACGTTTGCGAGACAGAACACTCGGCCGAATCACGGAATATTATATTCAGCTAGTATTGGGTTTTATTTCGACGGTAAACAGACGGTTTTCATATGCAGTCAAGTAAGAAAAGAGAGAAATCAAGTGAGTAGAAATAGTAGAAATGAGATGGGAAATGTCACACCTATTTATTTGTTAAGGAAAGCCCAACCCCATTGCTTGGATCAGTTCTCAAGCAGGGTTTTTTTGAAATGTTGAATACTGTTGTCTCTCATATTTGATAAGTCATGAAGGTAACTGTCAAAATTATGAGTATCTTTACACTGTAGTAAGTTTCATTTGTGTGTCCGTGGCATAGCGGTTAGGACGCTCGCCGACCATGCACATGGTCCGAGGTTCTATCCCCGGCCGACGTACTCCTTTGCCTCGCTAAGCCAGAAATAATGCTGGTGAAGAGGAAAGGTCGGACATGAGGCTAGCAACCTCATCCTGTAAAATAAACACTGCTACAGAAACTTCAAGGCACTAGCTTGAAGCCCTTTGTCCCACTGAGGAACGTGAAGGAGAGAAAAAAAGTTTCATTTGCATATCCAAAACTGACTCGACGTTTTCTTTTTTGTTGTTGTAATAATAATAACTATACTGCACTATGACTAAACGTCTCCAGAGGAACGGTTACCTAAACTGGTTACGGTGTCACCTTGAAGAAAAATTCACACCAGTCGAGTAAAAACTTGTAGTTACAAGGAAATCTGTATTGAATTATTCAATTGTAAGTTGACTAAATGTCAAAAAGGCGTTTGAACGCATTTCCAAGTGAATTCAGAAGTCATTTCTCTGATCTGACCTAGTAATTGAGGGTGACAAACTTCGGACTTCTCACTCAAAGAAAGTAACGTAACGTGTATCCTAATGGATACATGAACACAACTATAATATCAAACTTCCCTCCGCAAATTTGGTTTCCAAACGAATAGCAACACACTATTACTTCTCGTTTCATCGAATATATTCGTCATTTTGACCTAAAAATTAGCCTTCTTGCCTAGCTCTCTTTAATTCTGTTATCATTCATCTCTCATTTAATTTATGCGACAAGACTAAGACTGAAACTTCAGTGAATAGTTGAGTTACAACAGGATTAATGACAACATAACCAGCATAGCGGGCGTTAGTTTTCTTCAAATGACATAAAATGTCGGCCCCCCGAATGGAACCTGAAAGGTATATGACGAGTATTGTACCCTAATATAATAAAAAGAAGACCATATGAGAAATAAATGGGCAGTCGATGAGCTAGCTGAAAGTGATGACAATGCGTATGTGCTGCTAAAGCCCCATATTCCATTCAGATTACAAAGAATGCGTAAAAATATTATAATATAACCAAAATAACTGTATCATTACTTAGCTGGAAATGTGTTTGACAGTCCAGTAAAATTAGAATATTTTTTGCTTAAAATCCAAAGTTTTGGCTTTTTTATCAAGATGACTTCACTGTGATGTTTTTTTATTCCTCTGTTTTCCCAGTGGAATACAGGGGCTTCAACCTAGAGCTTTGAAGTCTCAGTAGCAGTGGTATTTATTTTTACGGGATGGGATTGCCAGCCTCATGCCCAAACTTCCCACTTTACCCGTCTTACTACTGGTTTAGAGGGGTAAAGGAGTGCGTCGGCCTGGGGTCGAACCCCGAACCACCTGCATCGTTGGCAAGCATTCTGTCGCTGTGCCACCAACGCCACTGTAATTATTATTCATTATTACTATTCCCTTGCGTTCCGAGTGGAACATAGGGCTTCAATAACACGTCTCCGCTTTCCTCTATTTTCTACCGTCCTCTTCAGCTAGGTCCACGATTGACCAAACTCTTTCATCTCTTCCTCACACCATCTTCTCCATGCCACCCTCGGACGACCCACTCGTCACATCAGAAGCCAGCTCCTCGACCAGGAACTGAACCCGGGCCTTCCACGTGACAGGAGAAGATACTCACCATTATACGACTGACGCTACTGTGATGATAGTTTCTTTTTAATTCTTTGGCAAATTTTGCAGTTATGGGAAAGAAATTTGAAATACACACATGCCTTATTCATCGCATATGCAAAGAGACTGGTCAGTTTGGTGTGAAAATATCCGTCAACGGAAATCTCTTAACTTATAGTGCTTTGGTGTCTGAACAGATGGTTGCTGGATTTGACTCTCAGTTGAAATACCACTACCTAATGAGATAGACGTAAATTCAGCTCATAGGTACACCACTAGCCGCCATTAACCAACTGAGGTTATATAAAAATGCCCCCATGCTAATGAACGATTATCGAGTTGTTATATATAAGCTGAGATTTTGTAAATTCTGGTTTAATAAAATTTTGATAAGGCTGTTAGATGCATTAAATAGCGAAACGTCAGTAAAAGCAGCAATATCGTTTTGTTTTTCATTCATTGGGAAATACAGGAAAACCTTTACTATAAAGAACATCACATACCCAATGCCCAAATTTTTCCAAACTGTTAAAAGTGAGCTTAGTTTGGACACATATTAGATAACAAGCAATTAAAATAATCAATCAAAAATAAATCCTGACTGAGGGTACTACAGTGAATAGAAATAGCTACTTTCAGCTGATTTTTTATCACAGAAGGTTTCTCAAAAAAAAGTGTTTGGCTTATAACGACGTCTCATGATTTAATAACTGTGTTCACAAAATGCAACTCAGCCAAAACCGTTCTCACAACATCAAAGTTTTCTCACAGCTGTAGGCAGTAATCAAATGGAACTTATTTTCGTTATTCAGCAATAAAAATTCAATTTTTTCTCCAGAATAATTTGTGTTTCTTTCTGTCTGATCGTGTATATCCTTTACCTACACAGCAGTGTCACATGCAGTCCTTTATTCATGTTGTTATGCAAGGTGGAGAAGAAAGAAAGTTCTTTCCCCGCTTCCCTAAAAAGTTTAAACAAAATATGCTTATAATTCTCCTCATTATTAGGTCTTTGATCTACAAGCAAAAAATGCAGACACTACTGTTCAAGGCATAGTCTAAACTTGCTACACCTACACTAATTGTCACATGGTAATTTATCAAAGAACGAGAAACAGAAAGTGTAATTATTCGAAAGTGGATTATTACAATGCAGTAGGCAGAATATTGAGAAAGTAACTGAAATTTCTACCTTCCATGAAATGCATACCATATGAAACAGGACCTACTTCTTATCTTGTACCGTTAAAAATCTTCAGTAAAAATTCTGTCAGTTAAAAAGGAATAAACGACGTTGTGGATTAGCGATGAAGTGGGTGAGTATACTGTGTGAAAACAAAATAAACAAAGCAGTGTATAAATAACTTACTTTACTTGAACTAATTCTGTTCCTAGGCGTTTCAAACTTTTGTAGCACATGTTCACCGGCATCCAGTACACCAATGTCTAAATGAGCATCATATGGAATTATGTCGTCTAGTCTAAGGAGTTTTGGACAAATAACATTCGAAAATAATGATACACTGACATCTTTAGAAATTCTACTCAATTAACAAACCATTGAATTAGTAAAACAAAGCGTTGATATAATTATGCATTATTAGTAACTTCTAGTTTGTCTTCCATCTCATTGTACCTGTTTATTGACCATATTTAACGATGTACTTGAATGATTTTTCCTCTGTACTTCACTGTGGTGTACTGTTGCCTATCTTTTGTTATCTTTAAGAAAACTGTTGCTGCCTATGTAGTTCCTAGAGGTTTTCTGCTGATATTTTACGTCAGCATACTGTGAATGTTTGTTTGAACCTGAAAATCTAGAAAGATTCAAGTTTCTTAATGACTGTTGCAGTTTTCCCCTGGATTTCAACAATTATGCAACGGTGAATTTTCATGTTCTGACCCTACGAAAATGTAAGGAATATTTCATTCACAAAGAAGTACTGTTTCAGTTTGTAACACGAACGAGTCACACATGAAGTAATTCATAAAATGGAATGAAAATATTGTTAATAAATAAGTCGACCAATAACAAACGAGGAGGGAGGGTTTTTCGAATGAAAGGTTAGCTTTCATTGTTCTGAAGTGCTACAGTTTTCCTTTGATAATACATTACAACTTTAAAAATATGAGAATACTGATACTTAAATTGATTTTTATAAAATTATATTTGTAAAATTGATTTTTACTTAAAAATATGTTTCAAGTGAGAAGTCATTTGATAAATATTATTTATAATAGAGGTATATGAAGGAAGTGAGAAGACAGGAATGCGCTGCACTAACCAATAAGAACATTCTAGAAGATCTGGATTTCGCGTGTGGATTATTTATGCTTAATATCACACAAACTTGAACACTTACAGACGAAAACCAACAAACTGGCCGAAGAATTAGTCAGCTAAGACTGGACTCCAGGTGAACATAAAAAAGACGGAGGTGATGAAGACAACCAACCTACGCCGCCAACAACGAGCACCAATCACCACCAATAGAAGAGATTTGACAGAGGTTGCTTCCTTCACTTACCCGGCTAGGAAGCATCGTTTCAATCACAGGCAGTCGGAACAGATGAAGATGTTAAAGGGAGCCAGAATGGGAAAGGTTAGATACGCCTTCATCAACCCAGCATCGGTATGGAAATCTTCTGCACTGACTCAGTCAGATTAAAGAACAAGATTGGGATTTTCAACATAAATGTGAAGTCAGTCAGTCGATTCTTCTATACGGTTCAGAAACTTGGCCATCGTGTCACGCAAAGGATTTCCAGCAGGCCACTGCCGAATTGTATTGTATTACAAGCTGACTTAGCTTAATAGTGAATATAAAATGGCCAGCCGGTCAGAAAGAACTAGTAACATGAAACTCTGACTGGGAACAAACCAACCAAGAGCCGAGTGCTCAACAAATATGCAGGATAAAATGGAGATGGATTGGACATACGTTGAGGAGACCGTCAAATAACATCCCTCAAGTGGCGTCCCAATGGGAAGCGACGAGTGAGTCGTTGTTGAGAGGGTGACGTGGAGGAGATCGTGTGGCGAGGAGGAGATGGGACATTATGAAAAATCATGGACCCAGCTGAAGAGGTCGGCAGAAAATAGAAAAAAGTAAAGATGTTTTGTTGAAGCCCTGTGTTCCACTCGGAATCCAAGGGAATAATAATTATAATATATTACACATGCGGCTTACATGTTTAAACACAATCAGCCCGTGGTGCTTGAATGTCTACCTCTTATCATAATATTGTCCTTGTGTTATGTTTAAGCCCCTAAAAGCAACTAAATAACTAAAAACCTTTTTAAGATGATTTGAATTTCTTTGTACATATTACCTGAACTGAATTATCCTGCAAAAGAGGCAAAACTGTCAAGGAATACCTGTCAAAAAGGTATGGTGATGAGGTATTACAACACTGAAAGAAGTTTCAACTTAAAATTAGGCTCTCTGAATAAACGTGTAGTACACTGCCTTGTTGTGGATAATCACCTGACAGTATTCTTGGAATTTAAACGCCATCTATTCGACTATTAAATGAATGAGTAGGCAGGATAGAAGAGAGTAAGATGGATTGAATAATAGAATAAGGGTAATATTTACATAAAAGTAGCTCCATTGTGTAGGCGAGGAGACTAGAATATACAAAAAGAAATTAATTCAACTAACTACTTTCTTACGTCTATGAGAACAGGTGAGAAAATTTCACGGATAGTTAAATTCTGACTATGTAAGGCATCACGTAACAGGAAAGGGAAGTTGATGTCCACAACGTAAAAGCAATATTCTAATTTTTTTAAAAGTCACAAGGATGAAGGTTGTTTGAGTATTCAGAGTTTCATAGATAGGCAGCATATAAGAAGGACTGTACATGTACGCTTTTGTGATCAGTTTAAACCATATCACTAGGATGGTGCATACTACTGATGAGTATGGATGGTTGGGGACTATTCATATCAGCCAGTGGTGCCTGGTAGCCAAATCAAAGTGAAGTAAACACTGGATGACGGTTTTGCTCATTGAGAGTTGAATTCATGAGAGCTGAGTCAGTTCATATTACCACCTCTAACTGTGTAATTTATAAATTGCGACTTTGACTCCATATCAGTGAAATTCTGCTGTCAGTAATTCTGAAAAAACTTAGGACATTCAGTTAGCCAAACGTTTAGTTACTGAGGAGGAAGAAATTAGCAAGGAATTAAAATTGGTTAAATCCACTCTTGAATCAAATAATTATTCTAAAGCCTTCATAAAAAGATATTTAAAATGTGAAAATAAGGATGCATCAAAACCTGTTGCTAAGAGCTGGGTTAGTACAGCGGTGATTCCTTACTGCAAAGAAACATCCGATGAGATAAAGCGAACCCTTAATGATCATAACATAAGAGTGTATTTTCGTGCAACTAACACCTTACGCTCATCACTGGTGAAGGTTAAGGATAAAATAGAAGAAACCCAACAGAATTGTGTGTACCAGATCAACTGTGCGGACTGTGGGGCCGCATATGTAGGTAAATATAAGAGGGAAAGAGCGTAGACAATGTCTGAAGGTGGTTCCAAAGATTTCTGCAGACTTAAAGAAGCTGGAAAACGGATCAGAGATTGCACTGCATTCGATAGAAATGGGACACAAAATCGACTTTGATAAGACTAAGGTTCTACAGAAAGGTTTTGTTTCATATAAAGAAAGACTGGCTACAGAAGCCCTGCATATACGGGTGAATCCCAACAGTTTGAACAGACGTGAAAGTGTGATGTTAGCTGATACATGGCAAATCCTGATTAATAAATAAAAATGGATATGTATCAATAATTAATCATAATTGATCAAAATTCCCAATTGTCTATATCTTTTTATGGAGAGGCTAACAAATGTTTTATGGCTGTTTACCCACACACACCATTGTATACTGCATATACACATATATTTTCATATTCAGTTATCCCCGACCATTGAAATATAAGCATACTTTATTTGATCTATTCCACAATGTTCAAACTTTTTACTGACATTAATACGACCATGAACTTTTAGTTTAACGTAATCTGATGAAAAGCGCACTCTGTTTAAATTGTTTAACAAAAGTAGACTAATTAGAAGTTAATTGGTGGATGGTGACTAGCAGTGGAATCTAGGATGCGCATTTCGTCCTTTTTGGGACTCGTCATCTGGATGTACCTGCACTTCGGTGCAATCAATCGACGGGAAAATCTAAAATTCCTTTAAAATAATTAATATGACCCGTGGTACAAGAGGTGGCTCTCGTGGCCCAAGTGGCCTAGTGGACGTCGCTTTGGCGTTTGAAACTATGAACAGGCATTGGGTTCGAGCCTCGGTGGGAACATCATCACTCACTGCGGAATGCGGATACATCCAGCTGACGAGTCCCAAATAAGACGAGATGAGCATCCTAAATTCCACTGCCAGTCACCATCCACCAGTTAACGTCGAATTACACGCCCAGAAATCGTCTAAGCATCTGCACAAGAAGCCTACACGTCAACCTGAGACCGACCACTGCAGTCCAATCAATCGACGGGAAAATCTAAAATTCAATTAAAATAAAAAGTAGACTAATTTTGAAAGTCTGAGGTAAATTTTGATCACAGTTCATACAGTTTTGTTTATTATACATGTTGACACCTGTTTCATGACACATGATTGGACAAAGTTTTTAAAAACAAGAGATGTTCCTTTTATATATAAACCTCTGTTATGTTAATTTCGATTAATTTCCCTGAAGAAGTTCGGACCAGATTACCGATTGAAACGTTGGAATTACTCATTTCAATCTCGCTGAGATTTTACAAATATAATTTTGTATAAATGTCTACTTCTCACTCGGCGTCCAATTATTTTGGAACTATTCGGTCAAATCTTGATCACAGTTCATATGAATAGCTAATTAATACTTTGTTACATTTCTAGCAACTTCATATATTGGCACTATCTCCTCATCCAATTTCTGCGGTATATTTTTCTCATTTTTATTGTAAATCATCTATGTTTACGGGGAATTTTTTCCCCTCAAAGCTTACATAATGAGTTAATTCTTCTACTTCAGGAATAATGAAACATTCAAGAGCGGCAGACATATTACTTACCTTAAAGAGCCTAATAAACTTCGATAACTTATCCACCATATTATTTTCTCCTTATAAGCAAAATTTATCCATTCAGTCAATAGTGTGTATAAACTTATAATTTGATACTTCACATTGCATGATGTATTCACATATAACCTGAAATTGCGTTCAGTTACATTATCTGCTTTCACATAAAGTAGCGGTATGCGCTTTTGAATATGATTTAATATATTGTAAGGATATCTGATAAGTGGTGTAATTCTACCCAAATATGTACAAATATTGTCCTCTCCAATACAATATTTTTCAATGTACTTCTTAATGCTTAGTTTTGAAGTTGGTATGTCATCATCATCATCAATGTCATCGTCATATTTATTATGCTGACTATTATACCGCCTTAACTCTTTGACTAAAATAGTTTTACATTCATTTTCATCTGTAGTATGGGATTCTAAACCTGGCAGGGTAATGAAGTTAACCGATATTCCACTGTTCATTCCACTCTGATGATAAATGAATAGATGTGACATGTGTGTTGAACAGGTCAAGTAATTCTCATCATATATTCGCATTAAATTGGCGTTATTGACAGTAAATGCAGTGGTAGGAATAGGTGTCATACTATCGTTGGTTGTAACATTCCGTGACTTATATTGAAACAGTACAATTAAAAGACTGAAAGTTACTGAAAACACAAATATACTACTTAAATATTTTCTAATATATCGAGAATTTATTCGATGACAGTGTCTTTTAAAAGTAAAAATGTTATGCATAATGTATCACTTAGGCGTATAATGGGGCTGAACTAATTTCCATTAGATTAATGAAGACTATATTTGTATTGATCAGTGATGATTTAAACTAATTTGATCAATACGACTATGTTCATAGTGTGATGATACTTTGATTGTAAACTTGTTATTATCTAGTGTCATGCGTCTAGTCCTATCTTTGGTGCAGACTGAATTCCATCAGTCAAGTTTGCAGTGTGACCACCATGTTAGGTGGCCTTGCATCACGCTACACTGAGAATTAATGATATTAAATGGTTAGAGCCAGTCAGAAGGAAGCCTTGGAACGAGGTTTCAAGCTGGTTGGCACTTACCAGTCAGCAAGGTGCATCTGCAACCCTGAAGGAACTCATGCCCCTTCTGAGATTCGAACGCGTGTCACCTAGTGCTGCAGACAGGGACGTTGCCAGTGGGCTTTTCAGGCCCGCGACTGACCTCGTGTGGAATTGCAATGGATACTTTGATTGGACTAGCATTATGTATTTAGCTCAATGGCGACGTCTCTGACTACAGCACTGGGTGACACAGAAGAGACATAAGTTCCTTTAAAGTCGCAGATAAGCTTTGCTGACAAGTGCCAACAAGAACAAGATCTAGGTCCAAGTCTTCCTTCCGACTGCCTCCAGCAATCTAGTATCAAAGTTTGATGATAGATGATGAAGGTGGGAGTTTCTTATACTGTTGTCTGAGCTTGGATTTTTATTGGCACAGCTTTCTATGTTGACATTATTCTTTTCATCTTAAATGGTGTCACTATTTTTTATCTCTATTATTCCTGTTTTGTGGCTTTGTTGCGCTCCCTGAACTGGATCACTCGATTTCGAAGCTTTCAATATCCTTCTGGACAGAATTCTTAGTTAGAGAACCATTGGAAAACCTGGGAGTACTGGACAGCTGTTTCGTCCTAGTTTGGGACTCTTCAGCAGTACGCACCCACCGGGATTCGAATCCAGGACCTTCTGGTTACAAGGCGAGCTCGTATACCATTAAGCCACTGGGACCCGATCCAATGGTCCTTGAATTCTAACTTCTGCCAATTCACGACATAGCGCGACCCCAAGCCAATATCTTCGGCGAGTATTTGTCCTCACGCCCGACCTGCTGCACCCTACTGGTCACGACTTCTCACTAGAACCCCAGGTGACTACCCACCTGAATAGGGCAAGTCGCTAGTGAGCATCTCATTGATTTTCAAGTGTTGGTTTGTAGGGATTTGATTGGTTACAGGATTTCATCATGAGCTGACATCAGTTAGAGAACCATTGTGAAATCCTGTAACCAATCAAATCCCTACAAACCAACACTTGAAAATCAATGAGATGCTCACTAGCGACTTGCCCTATTCAGGTGGGTAGTCACCTGGGGTTCTAGTGAGAAGTCGTGACCAGTAGGGTGCAGCAGGTCGGGCGTGAGGACAAATACTCGCCGAAGACATTGGCTAGGGGTCGCGCTATGTCGTGAATTGGCAGAAGTTAGAATTCAAGGACCATTGGATCGGGTCCCAGTGGCTTAATGGTATACGAGCTCGCCTTGTAACCAGAAGGTCCTGGGTTCGAATCCCGGTGGGTGCGTACTGCTGAAGAGTCCCAAACTAGGACGAAATAGCTGTCCAGTACTCCCAGGTTTTCCAATGGTTCTCTAACTGATGTCAGCTCATGATGAAATCCTGTAACCAATCAAATCCCTACAAACCAACACTTGAGAATTCTTAGTGTTAATTTCTTATCTCAGCTTCTTATATTTAGCTACTGACATATATCACGGTAGGAATAATAATAGTTGTCAAGAGCTAAATGTAATAATATTACGTAAGAGTAGAATCAGCCATAATTGATGTGCAAATTTCATTTTGACCTCGTTTTTAAGAGCTGTTTGGACAGCGGGTTGATAGCACGTTGGGGTTTGGGTTGTGGTTAGGATTTGGCTTAGGGCTATAATGAGAATTTGGGTTAATGTGTGTTATCCGTATTTTTCTAAGAAATAAATGGAAGGAGAGTGTTTCTTTGTTCACATGGATGAAACCGTTTTGATAGCTGCGAAACTTGAAAACCAATAAAATTCATCGTAACTGGGAAGTATTTTTCAGTTATATCACAGTAAAAACATTGTTCCTAATGTATCTCATTACTATTATGCAATATTATGTAAATAAACAGCTTTTGATTTATATTGCATGTCAGGTCCTGGAATCCAACGAATGGTATACGTTCAAAGTCACTGGTGCGTTCGCTATTCTCTATATATGCCCTTAAAAGGTCACTCTGCGCTCATACATTCTTAAACTGGATTCATATTATTTATTTCTTGGCTTATAGAGACGAAACTATCTAATAGAGGTTTTGATCCGGTTTGTCAGAGCTTTCAGCTACAGGCGGAACTGACGAGGATATCAGAGCAGGGGTAGGGAAAGCCAGGCAAGCTTTCAATACTCTCAAGTCTGTGTGGAGATCAACAGCACTCAGCATGAAAAATAAGACCCAAATTTTCAACTCCAGTGGGAAGTCAGTCTTATTATATGGATCAGAGACTTGGTGCGTCACGAAGAGCACTTCGAACAAACCACACACCTTCATCGACAGCTGTCTTCACTCAATACTCAAGATCAGATGACTGGCCAGAGAAGATCAGCAATAGTGAGGGATATCTGGCAATGAACGAACCAACCCAGCAGGAACAGATTGTGTAACAAATATGCAGGAAGACATTGAAATGGAGTGGCCATACTTTGAGAAAACCATCAAGTGAGTGACATCACACACCAGGCCATCGCTCGAGTGGAACCCGAGTTAGTTGTCAGCGTGAGGGTGCCATGGAAGAGGTCATGTGAAGAGGAGATGAAAGGATGTGGGCAGACGTGGAGCCAGGTGAAAATGTTGTCGGAGAACCTGATGCAATGGATACGTGCAGCTGAAGCCTTATCTTCCTCTAGGAACTAAAGGAAACAATAACAATAATTATACACATTCCTGAAGATAGTCATTCGGAAATGGCCGTAATTCAGCACTTACAATGTACGAAGTAACTTAATCTATGCATAAGAGAGTCTCTGTTTAATGAACTGATTACTGGAGATCTACCATTAATAATCGTTATAATTATCAATGAGGCACATCTGTCTACACTCGTAACTGGATTCATGCTCTTCAAAAGATTGGAATCTGTAATTAAGTACCGATGTCAGAAATTTTTCCACTAAAGTATTCAGAACACGGATATATTTGGTTGCAGAATTCTTTACTTAGCAAAAGTACAAGCCTTAATAATTAACGTCAAAACATAAAGAAGACAGTATTCAGTGGCTTGTACAATCGTGAATTCGTTTGATTCTTAAAATAATGGTAATGATAATAGTAATTGAGATAAAAATTTGTGATCACAACCATAGTAAAATACTGAGCGATAATACAGGTTATGTAACATACAAAAAAATCTAAGAAAAAAGTGATTTTATTTGATAAACAAAACACATCGATTCAATATTATTTACTGATACCGTTTCAAACAAAATTTACCGAGCGTAAACACATCAAGACACTCACAAACTTTGTTTATATGATTTCATGATTTTATTGGTAGTAATATTTTTTATACCTTTACTCTTACCGTTGTGTCGTTTGCATTGCCTATTTTAGGTGTGAATTCAATGAAGATAGGTTCAGTGATCAAACTCTGCTTTCGACTGCCTACACTTCTTTCAAGAATTGTAGTTCTGTCACACTATATTGTGTGAATTGGTGTTAGTGTAAAAAATCTTCATTTCTCAAAGCTGTTCATCTTCCTGTATAAGTCTTAGAAAGGAGTATAAAATTAATAATATTAGTTGGCAGATATAACAACACATAACAAGGCAAGAGGTTTAACAAGTTTCAATTTAACACTCTAGTAATAAACTCCTTGAAAATAGACTCTTCGCTGAATAACGTTTTCTTCAACCGAAATGTAATAATGACAAAATATAAAAACATTAATTTGCAATTTCGATCTGAAGAAAGGGTTCAAAACGTAGTTCCTTTGTCTGTACTGTTTCTCAGTAATCTTCATTCTTCTTCTTTGTGATATGATCCGTTGCCTTCCTATCAAAAATTCTTGCAGAAGGTAGCATTGACATACTACTTGGAAATTCCTGTCAGCAGCATACTCCACGAGATCACTTCTTTCGTTCTTTTTCAGACAAAAAGAGGTCATTCATTTTGTTTTATGATATATTAGTATATATGATATGACTGAATAAGTGAAAAGATTTCTACAACCTGGAAAAATTGATTTGATCGAGTGAACTAAGGCAGTATGTACAAAGATACTGAACGCAACACGACACCTCAGCTGAATATCGAATACAACTGCTTTCCCCCGGGTAATCTCTATTTCGTTTAGCCACAAAAATATCAGGAGTTAGAGACTGATCTGTGACGATATTTTCAGGCGAAAATACATCATATATATGTATATATACTTTTCCATACACGTAAAATCAACCTAGATGAGTTATGAAACAACCTATTCGGACTGGCTGTGTATCTTCGAAAATGTTTGAGTGTTAGGTAGCCGGAATATGAGTGAAACTGGACCTGATCAAAAATTTACTACAGTTAGAGAATCACTAAGTACTAGAGCGTCCTGGACAGCTGTCTCACATCCTAGGTGACTCACTACAAACTGCAGACTTTCATCAGCCTACACTAGAAGATGAGATGGCTGACGGTAATGCATGAGGAAACAAGAAGGGACTCTAGATGGCAGTGAACTAGCCAACAAGCCGCTACCGAAAACATATGCTAAACGGGACGTGGATGGATTGAAAATATGCAGAGGGGATCGTTGAGTGA